CACTGAGGGGCCTGTGGCACGTGTGTGGCCGGTGTCGCTAGGAGGCGTGTGGCACGTGTGTGACCTAGGTCACTGAGGGGCCTGTGGCACGTGTGGCTCGTGTCGCTTGGAGGCGTGTGGCACATGTGTGGCCTGTGTCGCTAGGAGGCGTGTGGCACGTGTGTGACCTAGGTCACTGAGGGGCCTGTGGCACATGTGTGGCCTGTGTCGCTCGGAGGCGTGTGGCACCGTGGCACGTGCGTGCTCCCAGATGGGCATGGAGTACGGGGGCTCTCAGAGCATGCTGAATGAAGGAGCAGGAGCTCCCCTGTGGAGGGGGAGGGGAAGGACTCTCCTTGGCCACACTGGAAAATGGCTCTCCTCTGCCCCCAGTCCAGAAGTCTTTGCTCCAAGACACCCTCGATGATCCTCACGTCCACCCTTCTGCACGCTCAGGTACACGCGGCGTGGCTCTGGGAGGGCCCCATGTCACAGGCCAGGGTCACCTGTGTGGCCGCTGGTCTGAACTGCTCCAGGGCGCCCCTGCTGCAACTCCCCGGGGCACCCGCCCCCCCCTCGCACCCCACCCCCACCTTGAAGCCCGGCCAGGATGTTGGGGGGGGCCTGGTTGGCCAGGGCAGGGCTGCCGCCTGCGGAGCTGGGGACAGCCCTGTGTGCCGGCACTGGCCCCCCAGGGAGTCCCCATTCTGTGACACTAATTGCTACAATTAGCAGGAGAAAGGCCTATTAGATCAGTTTCTTCTCCTGGCTGAGGCCGGCTGCTGGGGAGGGCGAGCCTGAGCCCAAGGCTTTTCGGAGGAGCAAGGACCCTTCCATAAATGAGGCCACATTTAAATTGCAAACTAGGGCCTCGCCCAGCCCCAGGAAAGGCTCCCAGAGAAAGGCTTTAGTTGGGCGGGGCAGACCGGCGGGCGTGGGTGAGCTCTCCTGGCTGACCAGTCGCCCAGGCTCCGGTCTGCGGCCCAGTCCCCCTGGGGCGGCCAGCATGGAGGCACGCGGCACAGGCCGAAGAGGCACAGGGAAGCAAGGACAGAATAGAGGCTGCTCCCTGCCCTGCATGGGGCCTGCTCTGAGGCAGGATGCCTCTGCCTCCTCCTGGAGCACATCGCAAACCTTCCAGATCCGCTGTCCACCAAGGGCCACTCACTCATCTGTCTGCACTAACTAGAGGAGGCGAGAGGGACTTCCTGACCTCCGCCCAGGCCACCTCTGATTCCGACTAGCCACACATGCCCGCGCCCCGAATGGCTTAGAGTCTGCAGCTGAAGATGGTTCCAGCTGCAGCCCCAGTTGGCAGCCCACTAGGCCACGGGATGTGAGGCACCCCCCCCACCTTGGGTTATACTACCGGCCAGGGAAGGGGGTGCTCCAATGGGCTGGGCCTGAGCCAGGGTCTCTCCCTGAGAGAGTGAAGCTGTGGGTGCTGGCGCCGCTAGCCTACAAGGCCAGAGCAGAGGCCATCCCGTCCCCAGCGCTGGCCTCAGGCAGTGGCCCTCACTTGGGGCAGTCCCAAGGGGGCATGTGGCAACGTCTGCAGACAGTTTTATCACAAGGGACTGGTGTCTACTGGGTAGAGGCCAGGCAGGCTGCTACACATCCTAAAGGCGAAAAACAGCCCCCCAACAAAGCATGACCCAGCCCCAGATGTCAGCAGCGCAGCGGTTGGGAACTCTTGGTCTGAGCAGCGAGGATCCCCATGTGCTGCTTACTTTCTGTGTTCTGAAAATGGACGCACGCTTTCCTGGCCTGGCCTTTTCCTTCATTCAACAAATCAATGAAGCCATTCAGCAGAAATGCATGACGCAGCCGGTGCGCAGACCCCGTAGAGGAGACAACACGCTCTTGGGAGGCCTCCCTTCTGGTGGGGGAGACAGGGCAGGCACTAGAAAATACTGTGGTGTAGCGTGCGTTTGTGGGGGCTTGAAACCTAGTGTTGACCTGGGGGGGGCGCTAACGCCCCCCCGCAGGGGCAGCTCACAGAGCTGCCGTGCAGCATTTCAGGTGAGACCTGAAAGGGGAGGAGGACCTGTCACAGGAGCCCACAGGGACAGACCAGCCAGGCAGAGGGGGCTGGTGCTCAGGTCCCAGGGCACTTGGCCAGTTTGAGAAAGAGGCAGGAGGCTGGCGTGACAGGAACTCAGGAGGACAGCGGGCAGGGCGGATCTTGTAAAACCTGATGGAATTTGAATATGATTTCCTAGAAATAGAAACCACTCGAGGGTACCTGGCAGGAGAGTGATGGGACATGCATTCATTCCTTCCTTCTTGGCTCTGGGGACTCGACTGCATGGGCCGTGGGCTAACTCGCAGCCCTGAGTCCGGGAAACACGGTCCCCCTGGGAGGGTCTGTGGGAGGGAGGCAGCGCTCTGTTCCTCTCCGTGCTTTTCCACCCATCCCCGTTTGTAGCCCGCCCACGCTCCCCCCCCCCGCCCAGACAGCTGCTCCGGTGCCGTATAGATAGACCGTTGTGTGCGTGTGCCCCGGTGATGCATGCACTATGTGCTAGCATGGCTGGGCGGTGGTCACTCGAGCTTCGGGACAGAGCCGTGGACTGAGGCCCTCGCTCTGCTTGGCGTCGGTGCCCCTCAGCGCCGTGTTTGCGCATGTCTCCGGCCCGTGAAGTGTACATCTAGTCCTTACCCCTAACCACAGCGCCGGGTTCCAAGTCCCCACCCCCACAGGCAGGGCTGTACTGAGCTTGCACACACACAGCCCCTCGTTGTTCTGCTGAGAGTGCTCTAGCTGTTTACCCAGGAGGGAAACTGCTGGGCTGCAGGTATTAAATATTTTATTTGAGGAAGAAGTGCTGGAAGGTTCTCCAGAATGTCTGTGCCTGTCTCACACGGCCACCTGCAGCACACAGGGAGGCTTGTTTCCTGCATTGCTGCCAACACTTGGCATGATCCTACTTTCTAATTCTTCTCTTATGAAGCATGCCCCTTGCTGTCATCCGCATTTCTGATTGCTTCAAGGAGCGTGGGCATCTTCCCGTATCCCCACCCCCCCAAACTGCCAGTTAGTATCACTTGCCACTGTTCTCTTGGGCTTCCTATCTTTTTCTCCCTGGTTTGCAGGACATTCTAGTATATTTTAGCTATTGTTCCCTTATCAGTTTTGCTTCAAATACCGTGTCATTTGTCATCTGTAACTTGGGCAGAGTCACTCGAGTGAGAGTGAAAAGTGTCTTGTCTTCGAGGCACGACAAAAACAGTTCACCACAGTGGACTGATTTAACAGAAATACTTTATTTGCATGTATTCAAGCTCATAACTTTTGAAGTTTGTGCTTTCTGGGTACTGTGTTCGACACCCCCCCTCCCCCCCACAGGCTACAGAGGCCCCAGGTTATTCCCCACCCCACCCCCACCCCCTCCTCAAAAATAAGCATCAACTCTTTTGTCCATTTGGAGCCTGCTTTTTCCAGGGGGTCACGTAGGAATCCACATTCCGATTTCTCCACTCAGGGCTAGCTTCCCCCGGATCGTCCTCTATGTGGTCCCCACGGACACGCGGCGTCACCTCTGTCTCAGGCCACCTTCCTCCCGAAGCAAGGCCGCCTCTGGAGTCTCTCCTGGGCCGGCATCCCCCGCCGCTCCTGTTACTGAGGCTTGGAGTGTGCCCCGGGATCTGCTGGTACAAGGCCTTCTCTGTTCTCCCTTTTCAAAGTGCACTTGGTGTTTGCAGATCTTTTCCTTTCACATACATTTTAGAATATGTTTGTCAAGTTCCTCAAAAACTCCAACTGGAAGTTTAAGCAGAGTTGTACTAAACTTAAAGATCTGGAAAACCCTGACCCCTTTCTCAAGCTAAGCTGCCCCATCCAAGAGAATGGAATGTCTCTCCATATCAAAAGATCTTCCTTTACATCCTTCAGTAGAATTTTAAAGTTTTCTCCATAAAAGTCTTCTTTGTTAATTCCTGACCGGGTGTAAGTGTTACTGCTTTAACTTCTATTCTGCTTCTCACTCACTCACTGTAGCTC